GGTTTCCCTGTGATAGAGAGAGCTGTGGGTCTGAGGAGAGGTGTAGTGTTCTCTTATCACTACCAATAATTAAAAAAAACGCTTGAGGGCAGTGGTAACGAAATAAACTAACTCTGGGAAAAACAGAAAATTTGTTGTTCATTTACGTTACATCGAGCGCAAATAATAGCAAGCGGGTTCACGGCGCGATTGAGGCCTCGGCAGAAGGTTGCTCAATGATACTTTGAATTATTCCTGTCTGCTAATATGGGACTCACTTTTCACTGACTGGATTATGGTGAGGGTGAAATGTGATCACGCTCAAGACATCAATTTTAGAAGAGCGAACAAGCCCTAGCAGAGTCACATGTGGCTATGGTAACTGAGAAGGGAGGCAAAGGTGGAATATATGTGACTGCCAAATCAAGATAATTAGGGTAATATGAAGATGGAGGATTGTTTTGTAATCTAAACCTCAAGATATATATGAAAGAGTCTATAAGAGTCAGAGGTGGCAGCAGGCTTTTTCTTTAACAGAAAGGATATAATCTCGCCAAGACAGTTTAGAGCCAAATACTTATACTGAATCACGGCATGCAAATGATGTGATTTGTGTTTCGAAATAGACAAGATCAACTGTCCTTCACCACAACAAAGTCCAAACTGATTTGGAGAGATAAGGTTGTGATATTTGAGTTACCACATTAGCTGGATGTTAACCATCCTCTCTAGTAGTTTGCAAAGGCAGCTTGTAAGTGCTATGCAGTGGTAGTCTTGAGGAAGGGTACCAGTTTGTTTGTTTGTTTGTAGTACAAGGGCTTCCACCAATGGAGAGGAAGGTTTCCGGTCATTCGTATGTTACTGAATATTGATAGAAGGAAAGACAAGTGAGCAAGTGGAAGGAATCGTAACACACGGTAATGTATACCATCTGGGTCGTCATAAGTGTTGAGGCATGACTGCAAAGTATAATAGATTTCAGAAAGTGGGCCATTATAAAATTCTGTAGAGGACAGGGAGGAGATAGTAGTGCACTCATTGTCTGAGTTTATGGAAGAAAAGTGAGGAGAAAGGAGATAGCAGCCACTGAGCTGGCTAAAATACAGTAAGTCCCTAACTTAAGAACATAATGGAGACCAAGAGGCTGTTTGTAAGTTGATTTGTTTGTATGTCGAAAGTCAAGTCTCCATTACCTTTTTTCCCATTGTTTTAAAGTTTTGTTTACATTAAGAATACCTGTAAATAAATCCCAATAAGTACGACGTACCTCATACAGTACCAGACTCTTGAACTATATTCACGCCCGGGAAATTTGAAGTTTGCTAGCATCTTTCAAACAATTTTTTGGACTTTAGTACTTAAAAAAAATTTGTTTGTATGTATGGAATGTTCATAAGTAGAATATTCTTAAGTAGGGGACTATCTGTAAGCACCAAGTTCGAGCTAGTTGAAGAGGGTCAGTGATGAGGTTATTATGGATATGGATGGGGTCAGGATGAGGACATAGTTTAATTATTTGTATATGAAGGACCTATGAAATAATTTGACTTGAAAAAGGCAAAAAATATTCAAAAACCGTTATTTGGCAAATTTGCATTTTAATAACAGTCTCTAGAATAATGTCTAAAGATTTGCAATATGCATCTTTATTTGAACTAAGGGATAAATTACTTGTGTTTTGTGCTACCAAGTACTTTTATGAAGGCTTTCCTTATGGCAGGAGCTGCAAGAAAGATTTGCTGATTAAAGCAGATTCTTTGGGTGTTATGTAGTAGTATAGATTCGACCACTAGATCAACAAAGTCACCTATGCTTAATGTCTGACTTAAAAGTTTGGTGCTGTCAGTAGATTGCCATTGTTGAAAGCAGACATCATCTTCCTCCTTTGCTAGTGCATCAAACAGGAACATCTTAATGGGCTCAGTACCAGGACACTTTTCACATCTGTGTATCATACATTGTTTGTTCTCTCTGCTACACACAATGATGCCCATTAAGTCTGTGTATTTCTTGTTAATGTCAACAGCATCAAGCTGAAGTATAGCATTCTGATGTGTCACACACACACATACAGAGTATGTGCCACTTGAACCTATAGTGACACACCATTTAGGTCAAAGAGAGAAAAACTTTGAATTTTACCTGCTGGATATCGGGCAATGAAAAGAGCATATAGTTCCTTTAGGCTATATAAAAGGAGATGTTTTTGCTTGTGGATATTGCGTCCAATGCTGACAAAATCCTTCTTTCCTGGCATTAAACAAGATATCTAATCATCAAAGAACAATCTTACTGTCAACAACTTCATTGGGAAGCATTTTTCCCTTCTTTCTTTCAGGGGAAGCTAAAATATCTTTTTGATTTTTCAAATCTCTTGCTCTTTTGACAAGGTATTCCGAGACTTTGAAGTAGCCAGACGCCTTCTTTATGGCCCAAGATTCTGGGATAAGGGTTAACATTTGCATCTTTTCATTTTGTCCAGATCATTAACTTTAGTTACTATCATGTGTAACATCTACATCAGATTTTTTAACAGTTGGTAGGTCATCTTGTTTGACACCAATGGCCTCCACAAAAGATTGCTTGAATGAGTCAAATGTTGTTTCAAACTTTGTACTTGCATAAGCAAGTCGACGATGCTTTGAGAAACTGCAATTTTATTGATGATTGGCCTAAAGCATCCAAACTTTCATTAAGAACTTCTCTAGAATCTTCCTTCATCAGAGATGATTCAATTTCAACTTCATCGGCATCAATACATGTACTGTCAACATATTCCTCTCTAACTACTGCTTCAACCTTGTTATCTAAATCTAAACATTTTGCATAGCATCCATAGTATAGAGTTGCCATGCTGGAACACATGCAATTTTCTGTTCTTTACATTTTTTTGCCATTTTAAGGGAGATCATGTGCCCTCCCTTCACTTTCTTCTTAAGATTTGAAATATGTTGCAGCATTTTGCATAGCTCTTCAAAAGTAAACTTCCTTTAGTTCAGGATCATAATCATTTAGGTCTTTGAATCCACACTTTTTTGTAAAACATGTATGTCATGAATCTTTAAAAAAAACACCAAAGTCACAAGAAACTCCTTCCTCCATCATCTTTGCAATAAATGACTTAACTAGTTCAGGATACTTGCATTTGGTTATTTTCCACTACCTGTGACTTTTTAGTTAGCAGGAAGTAGATCAGCTTCCTTTCAAAACATCTTCAAGGAAGTGACAGCTTATCAGCATTCTAAACTCACTGATTTCTCTCTTGCTTATTACTAGCTTTCAATGTCATCAGGAAATTAATTCTTAATGAATGTTAACACCCATTGCCTTTGCTTACATTAGAACAAGTGAATAAAAGTTGAATGAGTAAAATAATAAATACAAACAGCTGTTATCAACGTGATTTCTACTTTCTTTAATGCCTTTCAACTCAAAAGGGTCTTACAGTTTTTCAAAATTATATTTTATCAATCTTTCAAGCAACTATCATCTTATGGGTTATTCTAATAGTAGTTTGAATCATATAATACTGGTAATTTATCTTTTAGCTCAAATAAAGATGCACATTGCAAATCTTTAGACATTATCCTAGTGACTGTTATTAAAATCCAAATTTGCCAAATAACGGTTTTTGAATATTTTTTGCCTTTTTTCAAGTCAAATTATTTCATAGGTCCTTCACATACAAATAAATATTTGGAATCTACACTATCTAAATGTATACCAGGCAATTTTTTTTGGCCAAAATATGACCAGAAATAAAGTTATAGCATTTTGAAGTTGATCGTTGTTCAGTTATGTAAAATGTGGGCGGGCCACACCCTAAAATGGGTCATATTTGAACAGCCTGTATCTCTAGAACCATTTGACATATTGAGCTGAAAATTTTGGTGGGGTATAACCAAGCTCCTACTTCTGGTATGAAAATCATTGAGATCTGAAAGGGTGGGTGACACATCATCTGTGAGATGACATGGAATGACCCTAATAGGAAAATGAGAAATGACAAAGATCAGGCCCATCAGAAAGGAAACCTTGAATATTCTACTGCAGAAGAGTCATTATGGAGTAATCAGGGTAGAAATGGTAGAATGGTTCAGACTAGGCTGGGAACGTAAAGGGCAGCAAGCTGTGAAGTGACAGTGCTTTGCAGAGGAGTATAGCAATGAAGTGTAATTTGTGATATTGCACAAGAGATTCATCTTTCAATTGCTTCTGCTCAGGCCATCCTGCAGGCGGTTTCCAATAAGACTTGTCGCTACAAATTTTGTTTCACAATTTCCATAAAATTTCCATAAAAGTCACAAATCAAAGGAATGTTTTTCACTGCACTGATATGGAACTATTATTACACTAGGATTTTTTTTTTCCCAGCAGCTCTCTACTTTATGTTTTGGCACGTATGTGTGGCTGTCATTCGCATATATGGTGAGAAGCAGAATACATGACCACTCCAATGCATTTCTTGCGTGGAAGAGTATTCTGTTGTACGACATCTCTGTATTCAATTGGCAAGAGAAGGGCACATGAAAGGGTGTCATTATGAGCCAGTGAAAGACCTCCCATGTTGTTTGAGGCAGTGGCAGGAACAGTGAGCAAGCATGTGCTTTCAGGCGTGTCCAATGTATGCTCGACAAAATATGATTATTCTACCATTCACAAAACTTTTAATCACTCGTATACTCGTATGTGCACACACTCTTTATTTTCTAATCAAGGCGAAATTCAGAAGTTATAAAAATAAAAATCTTGCCCATGTAACCCAACTTTTACATAACACATATGAGTTCTATTTCATGCATTTCCAGATGAAATACAATTACAAATAAGTCATACTCTAATCTAATGAAATGTTAACAAGTATCCCTGATAACCTTTAATAAGCATACATGCTTCACAGTATGATGATGGATTTCTTACTGAAACTAGTACAGAATGATTGACCTCTGCACAAACAATTTAAACAGCCTGATTGAAATAAAGATCACTGCTAGACTTTTAGGGTGAAATGATAAATTACATTTCCTGTATTAATTTTCTTTAATGTATCTTAATTTGACTGGCAGGTTGGTAGAGACGAGGGGTGTCAACTTCCTCGAAATGTGATATTGCTGATACACACACAGTTGCATTTAAATTGGCATCAATTTCAGCAGAAAATTGTGAAGAAAATATATTGAGATCAAGATCCGAACTCAAACCGGTTTAATGTTATTGAACAAAATTTACACATGAGAACACCAGCACTCCCACTGGTTTAGATCTAACTGAAATTCCCTGTCAAGTAGAGAAGGCTCGAGCCTGGGTGATCCGGCGCCACATACGTAGGAGGCTCCGAGGTGACAACTGAGGCTGCCTGGTTTGCTTGGTACTGCTCGGACGAGAGGATCAGGTCTCCGGACGCCGAGGACAGGGGGTCCTGTATGGTAGAACACAGACATGGAATGAATGGGGATTCCTTGCCATATCACAACTAAGGAATCATAGTGACTTTGGTACTTGTACATTATCTTGTGGAACGAAAGGGCTATAGAAACACCTTTGCCAGCAATATTAATTCAACAGAAAAAAGGAAACCACCTCCAGCCCCTGACCTGATTGACAATGTGGACTGTAGTTGGCACGACGGGGACAGAAATAGCCGTGCCAGCTGTGCCCTGGCCCGCCAGCCGTCGAAGGCCCGAGCCACCAGGGCTGTCTCCGCCCACGATCACACCGTTGTTCTCTGGGATAAACTTACATCAATAGCAACAGCAACATCAATTGTTATTAATAATAACAATGATATATATAAAAAAAATTGTAATCATCACCATCATCATTGATGATGATGATGATGATTGATGATAACTATTACTGATGATGATAATTGATGATGGGGATGACTGATGATAATAATTGATAATGAGGACTCATGATTAATGATGATGACGATGACGATGACAATGGTGATGACGATGACGATGATGATTGATGATGATCATGATAGATGACTACTGATGACTGATGATTAATGATGATGACGATGACGATGATGATCATGATTGATGATGATCATGATAGATGACTACTGATGACTGATGATTAATGATGATGACGATGACGATGACAATGGTGATGACGATGACGATGATGATGATCATGATAGATGACTACTGATGACTGATGATTAATGATTGATAAAGAGGAGGAAGACTGGTGACTGATGATGACTGATAATGATGATAATGACTGTTGATGATGGCTGATGATGATTGATGATGATGATTAGTGATTGATAATGACTGATAACTGATGATGATTAATGATTGATGATTATTATGAGTGTTAATTAATGACTGATGATTAATAATAATTAATTATGGTTGATGATGATTAAGTATAATTGATGATAATGAGTGATAATTGATGACTGATATTTGATTGATAATTGATGATAATGATCACTGATGACTGATTATTCATGATTGATGATAACTGATGATGATGATGATTATAGTGACCGATGATGCTTAATAATGATGACTGATAATTGATGATGATAGCAATCAAAATAATATATATAACCATAATCATAACCACAACCATAATAATATGAATGATAATAATAATAGTTATAGTAAGAATGATAATAATAATAATAATAATAATAATAATAATAATAATAATATTATAATTTCCATTTTCATCATTGTCCTTATAACTATTATTGTTAATATTATCATCATTATTGTCGTTAGAATCATTATTAATATCATTATCACCAAGATCATTATCATTATTATTATTATCATTATCATTATTATTATTATCATTATCATTATTATTATTATTACTATCATTATCATTTTTATTATTATCGCTATAATCATCATTATCAGTACTGTAAGACGAATTTTTTATTATCCTTATTATTATCAATCAATATCAACAGATGACCCAATTATCACAGGCAACCAAAGCAAGCTAGATATCCCCTAGAGGCAAACGAGCATATCCCTCAAGGGAGGTCTCTGCTGTGCTTCCTTCGAGCGACGGGGTCGCACCTTCCATGAGCGCGGAGCCTCCCTCGGCCACGGCTGCGTGCTGTCCGTCCAAGTGGGGCACGATAAAGGCCGGCTGCCCGTCGATGGTGATGTGGTAGGCGGACGCAGACGGAGGGGCGGCTGGCGGAGGGAGCAGGGTCCTGGAGGGGGACGCTGCATGTGGGGGATTGGCGGGGGAGGGCAGGAGGGAGGCGGGCGCCGCGTGGGTCCTCTCTCTAGCACTGGCGTATGAGCCCTGTGGGAATGCGGGTTTGAATGGACTGCTGATCTGCCTTTCAATTAGGAATTCAAAATTATAAGTTTCATAATAATTCCTGATATTTCACATCACATCTGCTGGTTGGTCTAACGTCTCAGTGTATGTGTATGTGTATGTGTATGTATGTGCCCGTGTGCGTAAATATGCGCGCGCGCGCGCGCGCGCGCGCGCGCGCGTGTGTGTGTGTGTGTGTGTGTGTGTGTGTGTGTGTGTGTG